AGTGAATAAATTCTTACATGGTGAACAGTACAAGGGCATTCATCACAGAAACTTTCGGTTTTGATCATGCAATATGACCTATAAACCATCAGGTCAAATATGAATATTCATTTGATTTTTGTACTTGATTTATATGTTGATCCCACATTTCTCCTATTATTATTATTATTTTTATTTTTAATAAAATGCTGAAGTGGTAGGTAGATGCAAGATAAAGGTAGAAAACATAGTTTAGTGCTGTAAGAAGGCAAATGTAGATGATCAGATGATCAGGTGTGTGCCTATGGACTAAGTATTAATCCAGGCTAGACAAGGGCAGCAAGACATCCACGGATGCAGAAGATTTCTCTCAAAGCAGGGGGGGTGAGGTTCTGAGCCTCACCTCTGTTGATCCCCAATTTCTCACCTGATGGCCCCCCTGCGACTGTGCCTGTCTTAGGTTGTTCCTCCCTTGAGGAATCTTACCCGTCTCTGGCTAACCAGTCATCTTCTGGGGCCATACAGGGAGATGTAAAGTTGGTAAGTGAGAGAGAAGCCATATTGTTTGAAAAGGTTAGCTTTTTACTTCTTTGCAGATTTATGCCCTTGGCTTCTATGCCCAGCACTTGTCTCAAGGTATCTTCACCACCTGGAGGAATTATGATGCTCGGTAAATTCGATATGAGGCATGAATTCTATTTAAGGGTTGTAATTAGGAAGGAAGAAGAAAAGCTATAGATGTAGCATATGGAAGGAAACATGGGAGGATTGATTATTTCTTTGCCATATCTTCTTGTAGAGTACCTTAAGCATGTATAGGTTTTAAACTACTAACTAACTTGCGCACACATATTAACATAATAGGAATACAATATAAACTAAGCAAATCTATAATTACCAGCCATCTCCAGTGAAGCCAGTCTTTTTTTTTTTATAGTTGATAATGTGATTTTGTTGTGATATTATTACTACCAAGGGAATAATTTCTTTTGCTCTGTGATTTCTTTAATAAGCTATTCCCTAACAAACTCTCTAAATAAGCATACCGAGTTCCTGGAGTCAGATAACATTCATGTGTATTAGAGAGGCATTTGAAAAACTTGTGTTTTGCCACGGTCATTCATAATGAATAAAAGTAACTAATAGGCTGTCACAACAGTGCAGCTGCCAGTCTGTCCCAGTAAGCAGTGTTGGTCAGGCTGCATTCTAATCTCATTCTGTGAGAATGTGGCAGAATTTAAATATAACTGTGTCGGTCAGGGATCAGTTGGGGAAGCAGCACTATGAGTTTTGTGAACAAGGGATCTATTTCAGGGCTTGGATCTTAACAATTGTCAGACGAACTGGGAAGTGGAAGCCAGCTGTCAGGAGGAAGAGATGGAGCAGAGAGGAAAGGCAAGACAGGCTAGAACTCACCAGCCCCTTCTGATCCTCCTTCCCTGTGCTTTTTCACAGACACACAAACCTTCGGAGGAACATGGCTGACATTTCACTTCTGACTCAAATATCACACAAGCTCTCTTTTTGGCTAGAATCAGACAAGAAAAGGGACTCTGGGAAACATGATTTCCAGCTTAATCAGCTTCTTGACAGAAAAGCAGACATATATATTCACTAGACAACAATTTTTAATTAGTTCAAAATTCAAAATATTTTCATTTAAGTTCATAGTGTGTCAGCAAATCCCAGAGCACATCACGGGACTATTTATTGTTTACAAAATGTTATCCTAATTCCTGTGTGAACTTGTAGTACTTACATGAGGAGACCATTCAGCGAGATTTTTTTTTAATAGAAAGAAAATTAAAATATTATAGTCAGATGTGTGTGTTTCACAGATGTGTGACTTTCCAGGAATTACTTCCGCAGCTAACATGCACTTTTCATTGGCAAGAGGGTTTGCTGCTTGCAGGGCGGCAGGCAGCTGTCCAAAGGCAGCCAAGCCCCGAACCGCAGCTGGTAAAATGTTTCCATTTTTACTAGGTTTGTTATTCTTATAATTGCCTTTACATTATGGGTCTATGTAGTTTACTCTTTAGCTTTTGTTGTTTCATTCATTGGAATAAGGTATTTGTCCACAGATGAAAGCTAATTCACTTTGAGCAGAACTACAATATAGCCAAATGTTTTTGTTTAACCAAAATCAAATGTTCTAATGCCAATGTGTGTCCTTCTAAATAATGTTGATTTCATGGACTTATTAAATCTATTTTTGGAGAATTTGTTTAGAGGTTGTTTTCAGGAAAAATGAGAACATCCATCTTCATTTCTGAAGCGTGTTAAGGAATATGCTTAATTATTTCTAAGTAATTCAGACCTTAAAGATTTTTAAAATCTTTAACTATGTATTTTACTCTAATAGCAAGGTAATTTTTCATGTACATTCTTTTGATGAAAATTTATGCAATTCTAAATTCTAATGTTTCTTGAAGATCTATTTTAAACAAGTAGAAGGGATATAATACATGTAAATATGATGGTGAAGGCAAAATGATAAGACAAGATTTTTAAAAAAATGGAATGTAAGTGGTACATTGTATGTTATAGTGTCCAGTGTAAAACCTAAAAAAAGAAAAAAGGAAAAAAGGAAAAAGGCACAGAAGATATGAACAGAACATTCAGGAATGCAAGTCCGAAAAAGCAGCAAACTCAGGGAACAGGCTCAGTATCACCATTAGGTAAATGTAAGATAAACAAGAATGATATGTCACTATGGTGATTTGTCATTGAACTTGTGTAAATTTAGGAGCTCTGCAATACTCTTGCTGAGGAGGTGGGATGAGGATATTCTTACATATTACTGGTGGAAATATGCAGTATTTTAACCTTTTCTTTTTGGAAAAGAAGCTAGGAATATTTATTTAAACATATAGGTACATACCGTTTTGTATTTAGAACCCTCTTCTGTGGAATTCAAAATACGAGTGCACATAGAAGGATGCAAAGTTACTTATCACAGCATTGCTGGGAGAGGCAATATCTGGAAATGAAATGAATGCACATTATCAGGAAAACAATCGAAAAAAAATTGGAACATTCACGTAATAGAATGTTATGCAATCAATAAAAAGAAGGAATTTGACTTATGCCAGATACCTCCAAAAGATCTCCATAAGGCATTTTTTAGTGATAAAATCATGATAAAGTCAACAGCATAAAATATAACTCCCACTTTTGTAAAACAGTGCCTAGTGTGTACATATATATATCCATAAACACTTTAGTGTTGTGTGTATGTGCATGTAACTGAAACTGTATGTATGTCATTCAGTGGGAACAGAAAAATATGAAAAAGTATGGAAGAAAAACAATAGCTCATTAATTTTGGTTTTGTTATGGGATGGATTTGAAGCCAAAGGCACCAACGATAGAAGAATGAAAGGGATTTCACTCCGAACTCAGGGAAAGATTTGCCTGACCGTAATATCACCAGATTTGAAGAACCATCCCGATAGATGGCAAGGATTTCAATTTTCATGTTGATAGCAATTTGTTGTCATTGTTTTGACTGAGGATAATTTGAAATTATCAAGAGCCTCTGTAAATATTTCACTTACTACTGCTAACGTGATGTGAGTCATTCTTAAAGATCTTTCTTTTACTTTATCTTCAGGGAAATGTGTCATTTTCCTGTTCACAGTCACAATCTGTGCCTGTGACTTTTCTCAGCCCCAGGAGTTACTTAGCGCTGCCAGCCTCTTCTGGCGAGGACGAGGTTTCTTCTAGTTTTCAATTTCGAACCTGGAATAAGGCAGGCCTTCTGCTGTTCAGTGAACTTCAGCTGGCTTCGGGTCTCCTCCTCTTTCTTAAAGATGGAAAACTTAAGCTGACTCTCTATCAGCCGGGAAAGTTGCCCAGTGACATCACAGCAGGTAATACGTGTATTCCCACAGACAAAGCATGTGGATTCAAAAGATTTCATTATCTCTCTGTCCCTTCTCCATAAAATTTTATGCATAACCCCCAAATTAATATGTGCTCAATAAATGAATATTTGAGTTAATAAGATTATCTGTACTCTTCCTTAGAGGAAGTTGATTCCAATTTCCTTTTAAATACTGCTCCAACACTAGCAGTTCTTATTAACCAACATGATAGTTATAGGGGAATAGAAATTTCCTTCCATGTCTCTCTTGCTTACTCCAGATAAATGAACATACCCCAAGGAAATGTGTTTTCGGGAAAAATCTGAAAGACTTTTAAATGGGCCCAGAAGTTAACTGAGTGACTTCAGCAGAAAACTAGGCTTTAACACAGCTATTAGTCTTGTCTGGCAGGGAAAGGGAGACATCTCTCCTGCATCTGTAGCTCTGTATTAGCGTGCACTTTCAAACCTAAATACTGAGTCAAAGTAACTCCACTGGCTGCTGTATTCTGCCCAGAGTTGGATATATTTGGAGATGATGCAAAGATACAAAGGTCCTCATTTGGGCATCAAATAGAATTTTCTCCACTTCTAGGCAACACAATATCATTTTAACGATTAGAAGTAATATAATTAAGGAGACTTACGTGAATATCTGGAAAATTGGTGTCTAATTTAGGTCAGTGCGTTGGGTGACGGATATTTTTGTCTCTTCATTAAAATTATATAGTCCTTGACAAGGAATCTCCATCACATTTTCATATATATGGAATAACACCCAAGCCAAGCAACTGGAGGTCACATTGGGGTAAATTGCTACATCAATGTAATAGATGATCTTTAAAAACAATTTAAACATGCCATTGTACTACTCCTCTATATTAACTATGACCAAAATTAATAAAATTTGGGAGAGGAAAATCAGCAAAGTACAGTTGGAAACTAAATACAAGAAAAACAGGTATATAAATGGATACACAAATACCTAGTCTTCATATATCTTTTTTGTTGTCCCTTTATCACTGCAGTTTAAATGAGGGAGCTGGTAATTCAATATTAATTATAATTTTTAAGAGGTTTTAGGCCATGACATTTTAATGTAATGCTCAAAATGTGGTAGATTTGGAGGCTTGACAAAAGGAAATAAATTAATCAGTGTCATATTAATAATTAATAGACTCCCTGAAATGAAGGCCTAAAAATGTAAGCTTGTCATTAATATGTAGTTTATTGTGATTTATTTGACATCCTTAGAAGTGGTTATATTCCTAGCCAAATTTTCAGCATAAAGAAACTGCTTCAATACAATGTTACTGCAGTGAGCCCTATGAAGCTAGTTCATTTCTGAACACTTCACAGGCACATATATTTAATGAATTACTAGGTGTACCTCTATATAGAACACTTGACTGATTTCAAAATCTCTAAATTAATGTTTAAATCCTTATATAGTACAATCTATTATGGTATCATATGGTTTAGCATGACTTTAGTGAACAATGAGTCTAGGCTAAATATGAATATCAATATAGGAAAATTGTTATACTTCAGATAACACAAGTAGGCCTTTACTTACCAACTCTCCCATCCCCATTTTTCCAGTTTCTTTAAAAGTACTAATTTTTGCTAGTTTCAGTGAAGTGTGTACATTTTTGCATTTGAAAACAAACTAAGTTGTAGTTGGGTGGGTAGTCCGTTTATTCTGTCATGGGGGTATGTTCGCATGTACAGTGCTTGATAATTAAATCAGTTGTCAAGATGGATTTTAATAATTCTTTAAAGAGAATCAAGTACTTATGGATGGATTAGTACCAAATTAATGTTGAAGATTTCCATTTTATGAGGATGACTCAACTTTTATTAGCTCCTGCAAATATACATTACTAATCTTAACACCTTTTAAAAACACAAAATTTTATATTTTTTGTGATGGAATAAAAACTAAATTGTGGTGAGAAAGAACTGAATTGTGAAAATGTTTGAATTATCAGGCTAAATTTTTAATATGATGGACAGTTTTGCAAATTGTCAGAATTCTTTGAAAATATTATGTCTCTCTATGTCACTTTCAAAATATTAAAGGTATATTAGTCTAAATCTTAAAGAATGTTAGCAGTACTACAAATCTCTCATAACACAAGATATTTTCAGTCTTTGACACTTTAATAGATGTTAAAGTAAAAATCACTCAGATGGCATCAGGAACCCAACAAACAATAGTTATATTTTCCTATTGTTTTTATTGTCAAATTTAAGATTTCGACTCTGATTTTAGCATTTCTCCTGCTACTTTTGTTGAAAGGTGAAAATCAGGCCTGTACCCAAACTTCTTGCTCTCACAGGCAGGGTATGGCAGATGCAGGATTACAGAATATGAGATGTTTCTGCATTTTTCATTTATTAGGCATGTGTGATCTTGTGGCCCTGGCAATGGAGCAACCCTTTCGATCTGCCTCACCCAGGAGAAGCCTCTTTTTATTCCCCCTTCCTCCCTTCACTGTTGGAATTTTCCTAACGTTCAGGTTGTAAGCCTGTCTCTCCTTGAAACTCCCACTTTCCCCTAAAATGATTGACACCAGTGACCTCCATATATTCATCTTGACAAGAGCTATCTGGTGGCTGGGTTCTTTCATTCTGATCCATGTATGTAGTTGACGGATATAGTAATTTATGGCATTCTTTCTGAGCATTGAAAAAAATATCTGGAAACAAACACAGTCCTTCAGCTGCTCCTTGAGCAGTAGCCGATGTATAATTACTTTCTGCGTCTTTGCAAAGAATCTTATTTTTTCTTTATGCATCTAACTCTGTGGGTGCCTGCTACAGTCTTATGAGAGCATGGTGGTGGCTAAGCTGTCACAGTCTTTCTGTAGCAATTTAGGACTGGTACCAGAAGATTATATACAAGGTGGCAGAGAGAAACCTGGTAGCTTCTTCCGTATTTTGTGTGTTTATGTGATTGGCCTGAGAGGGTGAGAAAAAGAGAGAGGGAGACAGAGACAGAAAGGTGGAAGGGAGAGAAATTATAGGGAAGGGAAGAGAAGAGGAAAAGAGAGAGGGAGAGGGAGAGTCCTGATAAACAATCCCATTCTGCTACCTGCAGTTGCAAACACTTCCATTTACAATTCCATTCTGCCACGTGGAGTTGCCAGTGTTTCCACCCCAAGTCCACGGTGACGTGCCTGCAATCAAGAAGTTGGGTTTGTGTGGCTCACTGCAGCGGGGACACGCACGCTGGGGAGCCATGGCGGGGTCTTAACACAGAGGTGCTAGGGATCACTTATTACAGGATTTGGGGCTGTGCTAGCTGATTTGGGAGGAGGTTTCAAGGAAGAGGAAAATTGCCCCTGGATTCAGTGCTGCCAGGAAGTGAGGGTAATTGCGTGACTAGATATCTTTGTAAATCACATCTAGAAGGACAGAGCGATGAACTAAGGTTTAAGTTGTAATTGGTAAATAATTTTTAGAAAAACCAGGTGTGATTCATGTTCTCCAGGGAGGAAGTTTGGTGTTTTGTGACTTGCACAGTGGCCTTGCTTTTGTCTGTGCTTAGACTCAGACAAGATGACGAAGTCGCCTTGATGCTGTTGGTCCCGATGCACTGTAGCCACAGGGTGACCTTGTCTGTTGCTGGTGTGCCAGGAGACTGTCTATGGTCAGCGGGAGAGCACCAGGGCCTGGCCTCGCGTGCCGACTTCTCACCCCACCCAGGCCTCACGGAGAGCACCTGGCCTTTTTCCAGCTCTTTCTCAAAATTAGTTTTAACATGGACAAAAATATAACAGGGACCACCTGATGCACAGACAGAGAAGCGTGTCTGTTTTAGAATCAGCTCCCCAGATGGATATGACCTTGGGTGATAGGATTGGCCTGCCTGAACCTCATTTTCTTTATATCTAAAATGAGAATAATAATAGCAGTGTGGGGGATTAAGAAACACCACACATGTAACATACACAGGAGCTGTTACAAATGATAGTTCAGTAAAACTGTCATCATCATTATTATACGAACTATGTGCCTCTTCTTCCCCCCAGTCTCAAAAGTTCTGAGTGGTGAGCAGTACACGAGAATTAGCAGTTAGCTACCTAATGTCACAAACACAAAAAATACAAATCTATGGTCCCTCCTTCTCCCTCCCTTCTTTCACAGTGATGTGACCTTTGAAAGGGGCTCACTTCTCATCAGACCTAAAAGTGGGGAGGAGTTGTATACTGCAAAAAAAAAGATCTGATTTAAAAATTCTCCTTTATGTCATGTAGAGTTAGGTGAAGTGAATTATATGGGTCTTTCATTATTTGTGTAATGAATCCCATCAATGGGTCACAAGTCTCTTATCATTGGCAATCAGTGTCTAACTAGTATAAGTGAGGCTCACAATACTTCCTGAAGGTTCCCCTGCAAACGCAGACAACTTCATAACCTTCTAGTTGCTGAAGTGAGTGCATTTCACTGTGTCAAGTTACAGAGTGGGCTATCCAGGCAGACTTTCATGCTTAATCTAAATTGGCCTCTGTAGTGATGGAAGAAACTGCAGCAATAAAATCTTCCTGCAACATCTAAGGCCAGTGGGCTGTATGTTATATATCTTCTTCATGTAACTTTTTAGTAATTAATTTTTATTGGATTCTCTAGAAGCATCCGTCTGCAATAGATGGGACAAGAAAATGTCCATCACCACAGTTAGTTTGAGAAGCTCTGTCCTTGACACTGGAAAGCCTAAAATAAAATGACACACGTAACGTTATGTTTATAGGCACATCCTGACTTTGAGGAAGTGTGGTTGGGGGAGAGTGGGAAGGGTCTGTGGGTGACGCAAAGCTCAGTACCAGGATTTTCACCCTAAATGTATCCTCTTAAAGGAAGCACTGGATGACAAATCTGGGACATTTGATTTATTTTAGTCCAATTTCATACCTACAGGGACTATGTAAGTCTATTCAGTCATCTCTTTCAGAATTCACTCCTAGAAAATGTGTCTCAAGTATCTAACCTACATTCTTCATCTTTCATTCTTCAGGCCTTTCTCATTCGCTTTCACAAACTAAACCAGGGTTGGGTCTTTGAAGATCTTTTCTGCTTCATGGATGTAGTGTAAAAATGAACTTCGGTGTCCAGGATAGAACTCGTATTATACAAATAAGTCCAGGGCAGAAAGCTTAATCACCTAAGGGAGCTTCTACGCTTTTTCTGTCTGAAAGCTTGTGGCCAAAAATAGCTGGGTGAATAAAGGAATCATATATAATGTCAGAAAAAAGGCACATGACCTTTGGGTTTAATAGAGTACTTATATTTTTGTTTACTAATTTGGTCTACAAAGTCATACAGAGTTGAGTATTCAGTGGACGTAAACCTTACTGGTGAGTCCGCAATACGGATGCTTTGGTTCCACCTGTCTGCTGAATATGCAGCCACAGAGCCCTTTTGACTTAATTCCCTTTAAAAAGGAAAGGCTATCATCTCCCAGATTCATGAAGACTAGACTACCTTAGGAGGGACTAGAGGTTGTTTTTTAGAGGTGATAACAAAACTTTGATTTTTGATGATATATAAACTTGGAAAATACAGAAGAAAATATAAACATGAGTAGAAAACCCCACAATTTTCCCATATGCAAAAATGACTGTTTATATGTAGGGACATTTCCTTGCAGTTCTTTTGCACATTTATACAAAAATTAGGAGTATAATTAGAATTATATATGCTAGAATTGTTAGTATATATAGAAACAATTCCCATTATTCACAGTAGTTATGTTCTATAAAGTTACTGTGAACACTGAATTAGTAAATACTGAGCCATTACTCCTACGGGAAGCACCGGGTTAGGTTCCTGAGAACCTCTGGTCACAATATTTTTGTCCACTAATCAATACATGACTTTTTTTTATGTGTGATTCTGTTTAAAGACACCTTATTTAGTATTTACTGTTAATTGATTATCATTGAACGCTCAGCCAACAGTGCTGTAACTCATGCCGAATGAAGCTTATCTATCACGTGTCTTTTCTTTGTGAGACACACGAAAACCTTCTTGCACTTTGGAACACGGGACAGTACTTCATCACTCTGCTTGCAGGCCTTTTCAGTGCCAAAATCACCAACAAAAAGCACAAAAACATGAAAAACACATTTACCTATGACAGCTGAAACAGGAAACATCTGCTTGTTTGACCTCAGCTGGAAACATGCGATTTGGTCAACTCAAATTTTTCTCCATGCATTTCAGTAAATTGCTTCAAAAGTGCCCTGAGTATTGATTTGGGGGTTACAAATAAATTATGGCCAATAGGTGAATTTGAAAATATGGAATCTGCAAATTACAGAGATCAGCTGTGTAAATGTGGTCTTGCACATTGCTTTATTTTTTGAGTTTGCATTATTTGGGTAAACTTTCAAGATTCATTATCGATAGTCTTTTCAAATAGTTTTGTAATGATTGACTTGATATGCTTTGCTAAATATTCTTCTTAATGGTATAAGAGATGACTACACAAAAATGTAAAAAAGCAGATAAATCAGAAAATAGAATTTTGGTAAAACAGAATTTTGAAAACATCTGGGCTCCTCCTAAACCCCTCCCCATAAAAGGTAAATTATATCATGGATACAGAAAATTGGTCTGTGCCAAATAATTGAAAAACTTCAGCCATTGACATTGTCCGAAGTTGGGAATTTTGTTCTCTTTACTGAGTTCCTAAGGAAGGAAAATAATCACCGTTTCCCACTGGAGGGCCCCGATTTCCCACTCGCCTCCCTTTCTTTGTTTCTTTTTGTTAATAGATGTGTGTGCTGTACTTATTCGGGTGATGTGTATATTGCTGTTTCTAACCAACTGCTTATCCTGTCCACTGTCAAGAAATACCTCTGTTAACTGATTTTATCTCCTCCAGGTGTTGGATTAAGTGACGGGCAGTGGCATTCCGTCTCCTTATCTGCCAAAAGGAATCACCTGAGCGTGGTGGTGGACGGTCACATGGTCTCTGCCGCTCCTTCCCTGGGGCCTGAGCAGATTTTTTCAGGTGGCACCTATTATTTTGGAGGTGAGAGAAGAGGTCAGGCTGTATGACCAATTGGACCACATTTGCAGTTACTACCCGTGTGTCGTGGGGATGATGCCATCATGTTTTAACCAATCAATACTACAGAATAATTTCTCACTTCGGTTTGAACATGGAAATGTTGAGTGGATTGAGGTGACACACTATGACCTCAAATGTGTTTCGTTGAGGTAGATTTACTTATGTTTACAATTTCCATAATGAGAATGATTCCATAGGCCACCCTCTTCAGTTCTTACTTTCAAACTTTGTTGTATTTTCCTAGTGTTAAATGGCCTTTATATGTCTTTTTCTGATTTTATTAGCTGATTTTATGGCAGTGTTTTCCTGATCGTGCCTCTTAGCTCCTCTGGAGCATCCTTATTGCTTTCCTACTGCCCAGTATAGAAGGGCAAAATTATGCCAATGGGCAAATAATCTAACTTAATTAGCCATAGAAACCTCTTCTCATTGCTAAGTAGTAATGTTCTGATACATTTGATGAAATTAGGGCAGCCGCCTTCAACACCAGGCCATCTCTCTTAGAGAACAAAACAAATGAAGCGTTTACCTGCCCAGTGGATGTTTGATCAATCTGAAAGCTTGGAAAAGGAGCTGTTGGAAGTGGAAGTGAATCTTTAGCACTGGAAAAGTAAAATAAAATGGCATTTGCCATTACAAAGGCAAAGTTGTAAGGCTCTTAATAGTACGACATTTCTGATCATGACTTGAGGTGTATTCTTACTGTTATTTTGAATTTTAATACTTAACTTCTGTCTAGAATGACTTTTGGATTTGGTGGAAGTAGCCCAGTCTTTTATATTCATCCAAAAAGAACAAATTCCTTTCTAAGAATTCACAGTAAGCAACTAGGCCATTCATTGCTCACCCTTTTTAAGAACAAACAGAAGACCCCCTACATACTCTACTACTGTAAAAGGCAGCATGGTGCCAATAATCTTAAAAGATAAAATTACTTTTTTTTAGTGAGATTTGTTCTTTTTGAACCAAGTTGTTTATAAAACCTCATGGAATGTATGACTGATTTTATGGCAATCCATAGGAATACATTCCTTTAATACATGATACAGATATATAGAACAATGTAAACCAATAACTTTCACTTCAAAGGAAAAGATTTGGAAGCACTAAAAGAGATAAGAAAAAAATAGGCATATTGTTAAATGTGAAAAAAAAAGACTGGATAAAACTAATTGGCAAAAGTGTAAACTTTTCAAAAAGTTGCAAAGATATGCAGAGTTCCCATATACCCTCACTTGGTTTCCTCTGCTGCTCACATCTTACATCATGTATGCATTTTTTTTTATAATCTACTTAATGAGATTGTTGGCTTCTTAAGGGCAGAGAAGAGGCCTCGTATAGACTGATTATCTAATTCTATCAAATTAGAATTGTGCATAAAGTGGGTGTAATCAGTATTGTCTCCTACACATCACCCACGTTCATGTATGCATTTTAAAGAATAATCTTTTTTTTTTTTTAAATACACATCTACACATGCATTTCCAAGCTTAGAACGGCGGTCTTACTGATTCCCCAGTTGCCCTCCCAGGATCGCACCCCTTCATCTCCCCAGGTGAGCGCTGTCTTGCATTTGGGGGCTGTTCTCTCCCTCATGCTCTTGATGATTTGATGTCTATTGCTGTGGTCCTAAGTTCCTAAACAATATAATTTGGAAGCATCCATAATAAAATCCTGAGTCCAGGACTTAAAAACAATAACCAATCTCAGGTTTATTTAGATATCTCTGTTTACTTAATCATCTTCTCAAATGGTGACCTTCAGAACCCAAATATGTTTGGCATAAGATTCTTTGATCCCTAATTACATGCCCTGCAAACTTAGGGTGCCCTAACATTTCCCTGGTTGGGAGCAAGGGTCCAAAAGAAACCAGAAGGCCTTCTGCTCCCCCTTTCTCTCCTCTTCCCAGTCTTAGGCCTTCAGGGACTGGTAGGGGGATGGCATTCCCCTGGAAGCCCACATCCGGCTTTTGGGCTGGGGATTCTGGATTCTGCAAGTGGACTGGAGGGGAGGGGCTTCCAAGTGGCACATCACTTCCCCCAGGAGGTGTCCTGGGGCTGCAGGCAAAAGTATGGCTGGAGAAGGCTAGAGTAGGGTCCCCACCATGCAGCATGGGCATGGCACCCTGATTGCCTGAGTGCTACTGACATTGGGGTGACCAACTCTTCCCAAGTTTAGCACGAGAAATCCTGAGTCCCAGGGCAAAGAAAACCTTCTGTTCTGTGTTGCTGAGGGTCTCCTGTATCAGTAGGATCCACTTTATCTAAGTGGAAGATTTTCTTTGGTATCTAATTTTTCAGCCAGTTTATCTTTAAGCAAATAAATACCCCAGGTTCTGAGATACTTTCCATCAATCCTCCTTTACTTCTCTCTAAATTCAGCTGCAGTTTCCAGTTATCTCATAGCATACTCAGTCTAATGTGGCTGCAGTGCCCCCTGCAAAGGAGCAGGCTATTCCAACAGCCTGGGCTGTATCTCCGTCCCGGCCAGCCTAGAGCATGGCTGTCGTGCTGGAAGAGCAGGCTGCGCTGGAACCACAGTATTCCCTGTACGCCACACCAAAACAGACTTCACTGTCTGTCTGTCACTTTTCACTTGTTCACCCTGTCAAATGAGTGCTTTTCCAAAAGTCAGACTGCATAGTGGTGCATTGTGCTCAGCTTTTATCATTTATAAATTATAAATTTGCAATCTGGGTTCTTCAGGTTGAGGATGGATGCATGTCTAATTTCCATCTATTCCCGTATGCAATGTTCGTGCTATTGAACAGCGCACTGTGCGGCTCAAGCTGGAGGTACCGAACTGTGTGCAGAATCCTCACACCCCTGCTTGTGTAAATCAAACCTTATGCATCCAGTGAACTGGCTATACCACCGTGAAGTCAAAGCCGACATCTCACTTCTGGTACAGTGACATAGAGTGATAATTTATCTGTCATCCTCAGAGGTGCTTAACATGCTGACTGCCTCTAGTAATGGATCCATCCATTAATTCAGCATTAAGTATTCCCCAGAAATCTTCTTGTTTTAGAACTTTCATCTCAAACCGGTTCAGTGCCAAACTTCACTCTGCTATTGCATTATATTAACTTTTGGATGCCTGTTATCACGGACTAATGAGACTAACCTAGCTTGAACCTTCCTTTGTTCTTAGAATCTCTTGCTTATTAAACATTGTAGCTGGGAGTGTGAAGTGCCCCATGATACAATGGTGTGCTTTCATTAAAGTTCCATGACCTTTCCTTGTGGCTATGAGTTTGCTTATTTTGTTCCCTACAGGCATATTGCACAATTTGTTTTATTCTGAAATAGTTTGAAATGTGTCAGGAAACAACACCTGGAGAAAAGGAGATTAGCAGAACTGTTTACATTCCTGGCATATTGTAGTTGCCCCTTATTATTGAACTATTATCCTCTCAGTTTTTATTTTAACATTCTTAATTGGTTAAGAAGTCATCTAGAAAACATATTGAGATTATGGTAACCATATCTTATACCCAGAAGAATTTTAAGCACTGAAAGTGTATGTAGTACCATGTACAATAAATTGACACTCAGAAAGCTTTCATCACCTTTTCCTGATACATTGAATTTGAAACTGCAGAGTCTCTGTCAGCTGAAGGGTAATACTTTAGTGTGCCTGATAACAGTTTTAAACATGCATCCTGGCCTTTACTTGCCACGTAAATGCATTTTGTTAGAAAAACAAGCATTAAATGGAAATTTCCTCAGTTAAAATATTAAATTATAATGGAAATTCCCAGGTAGAAAACTAGGGTGGATTGTACAGGAATTAGGAAGTTACTGAATCATTTCTTATTCCTTGAAATTGTAACAGTGGTTGACAGCCATAATGAAAAAGAAAGATAAATGAAAAATACGTAAGCATAATGTATGTGTTCCTACTCCATAAAATTATTTATTTCACTTGTATAAACACTTAGAACATAATTAAATTCCAGACAATAAAAGTTAATGTTATAATTCTTTATTATTTAAATAATTAGAAATAGGTTTCAGATAAATGTTTAAAAAAATCAATATAAGCATTCTTTCATGAGACAAAGAATAAACAATCGAACAGTGAATCGTTTTTGACATTAAGCCATTATGATTTACTAAAATGCATGTATACGTGGCTCTCATATACATTTGGAAATAAAAGTATTTAATTAAATAAATAGTTGGTAATTCTATTCCACGTCAATATAACTCCTTTTCCAAACAGCTTTAAAGACAAAGGCATGTCATTACTTATCTTTTCTTGCCTATAGTGCACATTTTCACCCTTTATGCTCTTCTTTTGTGCTCCAAAAGACTACGTTCCTGTGTTGAAGTTATACATAATTTCATACTGCTGGCTAACATGTTTAGGATTCTGGAACTAATATGTGTATTTTAAAAAGTTGAATCAAGTTAATATACTTGCACATAATTACTATAACATTTGTAATCCCCTGTGAATCCTATGGTAATAAGGGTAAATACTTTGTATGAATTGCAATTTGCAACTTAGATCAAACTAATCATAACTACAATGGGTGTTTCCTCCCTTTTTTAATTTTAAGAAAATAATCAAATGTCTATTTCTTGTAATTTTTTCAACGAGGTATTCTGTGACACTGAATCTTGATTATGCCATATCCTGATTTACTTTGTTTTGTTTTTATCAGGTTGTCCTGACAAGAGCATTGGATCTAAATGTAAAAACCCATTTGGTGGGTTTCAGGGATGTATGAGACTCATATCTACTAGTAACAAGGAGGTCGATCTGATTTCAGTTCAGCACGGGTCTGTTGGAAACTTCAGTGACCTTCAGATAGACTCATGTGGGATCACAGACAGGTAAGGGCCGTCTTACTTCTTTATCGTGACATGCCCATTTCCAAACATTTGGCAGCAGACTAAAAAAATATATATATATATAAAATGAACATTTTTCTGTCCTCTTTCCACCATCTTCTCTTCCATGGGAAGTGAATTATATTCACATTAAAAGTAAGAAAAATGCACTTTTAGTTTTATACCTCCTATTTCCAGTGATATAATTTAGATAGAAGACATGTGGCCATGTTATTTTTATTTACACATGCTACCAAATCACAAAAGATAATGTTGATGCTGCTGTAAGTTTAGATGGGTATCAGACGTATCATCTATAAATCATCAAACTCAACAGATTAGGACACTCCAACAATAATATTGGTCATCAGGTACCATAGATACTGTAGGTACCTGTGTTGTCAGTTATCCAACTGGTTTTTGCTTCCATGACAGCTGAGTCGTGTTTTCAGAGGCATAGGAATCGAACTGGTTACTGTGCACCTTCAACAAGCCAAGACTACCTTCTCTGCCAGGAAACAGAAAGGAACCTCCCTTCTGGAAAAGCTTGGTGCCATAGTGTTGGTCCAGGTATAAGGATGATCTGGTAGTTTCAACAGGAATGCAAGTGTAAGACAGGATAGTTAGGGGTTAATTGTAGAGGACACCTTTTGAAATAATAACTATAGTTACTAATTTAAAAGTATTTTTAGACATGGGCAACTATAACCAAATACTATCTAGCCAGTCATGCTTTACTATCAAGGCTGTTAATTTTAATTACTGAGTTCAATGGAATGTCACGGCTATTAGAGATCAAGAAAAGAATTAATGTGACAAATTTAGCTCCTACCCTATAGTAGTGCTTAATATATATATTTTGAATAACAACATAAGTTCTGAGCTTTAAAAATATTTTTTTATTTGCATGAAACATTTTATCAACATGAACATACATCTATTATATCTGATTGACCTAATTTACTCTATCAATGTCTATTGATCCTATTTTGAACTCATGAATACTGTGATATGTGTAGAAAAAAATAATTATAATCTTATCTAGCAACAGATCAAAAGGACATCATTTCCTCTACAAATATATGTTTATTTATTTAACACAGTGTGTAGATAAAATAATTCTTCCTGTAATGAAAGATAATATATAAAGGGAGAACTTAGACAATAAACCTCAATCGGTTTGATTTGGGGATTGAATGACAGTGAACTTCTCCATAGTTCCAGACATACCAGTTCTGGAAACTTAATTCCTGTTTGGGGAAAGGCATGCAGCAAGGTCCCCTGGGCCAGCACACTCACAGAGGCAGGGAGCCCTCACCCACAGTGGGTGGCGGCCCTCAGCCACCAGTGGGTCATCCACACTGTGAATGAGAGTCAGGTTGACTATCTCAGACTGCAGAACACTTTGATACAAGAGGATCCGTCCTTCTCTAATGTGGGCCTCTCCGAAGCTGTCCTTTCACCCAAGGAATCCATGTTGCCTCTTTTCTGGGGGCCACACTTGTCAAGTCGGGTGTGATACAGCATCACTGGGCAGTGTGTGGTTTCAGAACCACACCTTAGAACACTTATCAGAAATAGCAAATTATGGATGGATCCAGACTGTATGTATTTGTTTTTTAAGAAAAGCCATAGGCTAATGGTAAACCTGGCCATCTTAATAGCAAAAATCAAAGTAACTTTTATATTTGCATACCATTTAAATTTCTGAAAGTATCTCTAAGCTCATTCTCTTATATTCAAAAGAAAAAACATATCCATTTATTTTGGTGTTACATGCTATAACTATTAATATAGCTCTCAAAGCATTACTAAATAGAGCTTTTTTTTATCTGTTTACCAGGCTATATTCTAAGCACTAAACATGAATTAATATTTAAGTTTCTGTGTGTGAGTAAGTGTGTGTGAGGATGGTGTGAGTTGTAAGGAGTCTGGCACTGAGTGTGCATGAACTTACAAGGGATGGTGTGGATATGTGTGTGAGTGTGTGTGTGTGCATGTGCATATGTGTGGTTAATGTGTGAGGACTTGTGTGATCATGTGTGTAAGGATTTGTGTGGATATATAAGGTGTTTTAGATATGTGTGTGCATTTTTTAATGTGTATGTGTGTGGGAGGCTGTGTCATGACTATGTTCTTAAATTAATTTTAAATTAATTAATTAGCATGTATTTAAATCGATCTTCACAAAGCCCCTAGAATCTGTTCTTGGTAGTATTTGTTTCATCTAAATGTGGAAGCAGATGCACAGAGAGGTTGAGTAACTGGCTCAGATGGCCAAGATCTGATGTGGGGCCTGCATCGAATCTCAGCCCCGGCTCCAGGAGCGCCCTGCCGACGCTCTACCTGCCATGCTGTGCAGCCTCCCTGGATGCACATGAGCTTTTATTGTGGTTAATGTTTAATCTATGTATAATAAACACATAATTTAATGTTTAATAAATTGCAATTAAAAACAAACAGGAACATTAAAAACATATTAATCTGACAGGAACTTAAACAATGTAGATCTTTTTTTACTGTAACTAACTTTAAGTTGGATCAAACCTAGTATAAAGATGTACATACATTTGTACATGTGCTTACAGCTACACAGCCATTCACACACACTCTTTATACACATTAACACAGTCATCGCACAGGCTGTCATGCACACCCACATGCTTGTGTGCTCACTGACATCAAAGCACCTTAGTGCACGGTCAGCTCACACATGCTCCTTACACACACATTCACACACACCCTCACTCATTAATGTGTACACATGCACCCACACGCACACCATTCTTCCACACTCACACGTAGTCATGGATCATTTGCACATTCACATGCTATATATACACAAACTTGTACTCATCTAGAAACCCACCCCCTGTCCTCTGTAGACATTCAGGGGCAGTCGTTAGTCAGGAAATCTGGGAGGGGATTACTCAGGAGTGAGAGCAGTCAGACCCTCGACGGGGGTGAGGGCAAGCTGCAGAGGGAGCTGCCATTCATGTCCCTGTGTCTTGTGGCAGAAACCCAAGTGGGACAGGGCAGGGGAGACAGTTATCAGGGCATAAATAATTCTTAAGTCACTTGAACCTAATTATGTATTAAATAATAGTAATAGATATATCTCTTGATACCAACTTTTTAAGATTATCAACTGAGTGGGGAGGCCGCCGTCTCCCCTGACGCCACCTACCCTCCGGAGTGCAGTAAGGCAGGAGGCGTGGTGTGTCTGTGGTCCAGATGATACAGAGGCCGCGGCCAGAACGAAGCGGCTGCTGGGTCACGGCGCTCCCCACGGTGGCCTGGCCAGGCCCAGCGCGCCTCCTGGGCCCCCAGCCTGCAGCCTCTGGGCCTCCCTCAAGCTGCTCTCCCGGTGCCCCCACCGCCTGCGTGTGGGGCCGGGGCGTCAGGCCCGCGTTGCACCACCTTCCCTCCTGCCCTCCTCCAAGCCCCCCACCTCCCTTTCCTCTCCTCCGAGGACCCCTTCCGCTTGCCCTTGTTGCTTCTCCCTTAGGCCCACGTGAGGTGCTATCCCCTGCTGACAGCTGATTTGAAGACTGTGGTGCTACTCTGTTCCCTGCAGTATTGAAGACAATGCTCACTTATTTTTGTGGGGGGGAACCAAAAGAGTAGGGTGGGAGGTGAGGGGCTGGTTTTTGGCGATTGCACAGTTTTGAGGAAGTATGTGCTCTTTGAATTCAGGTGCTTACCATTATCCTAGGATCCATAAGTACTAACTGTTTAATTTTCCTAAATGTGATAATGTTATATAGATTTTTAACCTCACCATCATTAATTCCAGGCAAGTTCCACATTATGTGAAAGTGTTTTGAAATTTAAATGGAAATGGACAGGAAATCAGGATGAACCAAGATCGTACGTGTCACTTCCGGTTTGGGTATGTTCGTGTAGGCAGTTGTTGAAGCTCCCAAGCAATGGCAGTAATGATGGAAATGTCTAAGGGAAAGCTTTGGAAGCTAGAGCAGATGGGTTGATGGATTGTTTTACTTTGTACCGGAAGGACTAGTGAGGAGAAAAGTATAAATAAATTGTTTAGAATATTTAAGAATAATCAGTACTTCACTATACAATGCACTCTGTCACAGGTTACTCACCAGTAATCAAACAGAACTACTGTATAGTGAATTTAAATAAAACCCATGACCCTGTCTCACACACTGTAATTAAAAAATATGAAAAGTCTGTTCTAACAAGAATCAAGGAAAATGGGGTCAGTATTTTCAGCAGCAGATCAAATAGAAATAGCACATGAATCACATTAATGAAAGATTCACTCTTTAGAGTTTTAGCTATAGCCACTTATATCTGCCCCCTTTTAAAACATGGTTTGTAGTCCGTTAAAGAATAAGCTGCTCTGCCCTTTTCTGATCAGCAACTAGGACTTTTATTAATAATTAAAGTATATATTATATGTAATTAATATATCAAAACTAAGTTATATTAATGCATAAATGTATTTAAAATATGTTAATGGTTTTTATATTCATATATAAATATGTTAATATTATATATACAATTTTTAAAGTTTTTATCTACTACTACCTAGCTTCTCAAAGACAGGACATCATTAAAAGGAATGTGTCACAATCTAATGTTGCAACCGAATGGCCTCAAGCCAGTAATGGCCAGTGTTTGACAGATGTTGAGTATGCCTGTATTTCTCTTGAAAATGTAAAATATCCTGGGAGCCCCTGTGAGTTTGGTCCAGCCCCGGAGAGCCCCTGACCCTCTGCGTGGGTTCGTGTGTCTGCGCAACACACTGTCAGCATTGCCGGATATCTGTGCCCTCCCTCCCACTTTCTTCTTTCCTTCCCCCTTCTGTAATCCTTCTTCCTCTAAGTATTCCGTGTAGTAAATGAGTATGTAGTGAATCACTGTTGTTATTCTATGTGAGCACTGGCATTTCTGGCAATATATGAATCGGTGTTATATCACTGACAGAAAAGAGAGGACGCTGATGTAGTAGGACATGCTGAAAATTAAGCAGTCACGACTACCTGAGAATTGGCTGAAATCTGGTGAATTTATTGATCTGATGTTTAGTTCTGTGATTACAGTACCTTAACGAAAGGCCAAATGACCATTAGTCATGTTACACTTGCTCTTTCCGTTACTGTTGACATTGTTCTTTTGTTCTTTCTCATGACCATGTGTAAATGATCAATATTTTATGATATCTCAAAATGAAAAATAAGGACCATGTCTGCACCTTTTTTAAGGTGTTCGCCCAACTATTGTGAACACGGCGGGGGCTGCTCCCAGTCCTGGAACACCTTTCACTGCAATTGTGCCAACACTGGTTACAGGGGAGCGACTTGCCACAACTGTAAGCCGAACACATCTGCTTGTTCTTGCCTCTGTTCTGAGTTCCTTGTTGCATTTCCCTTTTCATTGTTGTGTGTGTGTATGTCCAGGTGTGTGCAACCATGTATTGGAATGTAAAGCCCTGAATTTTAACATCCGGTTGATTTCTACTTTATTTTTAATCCACACCTCTTCGTAAAGTAGTCAAGGTAACTTAGAGAAATATGTGATGTGAAACAAGATAGGAAGGAGTAGGATAGCGGGCACAGGGACGATACAGATGGAAAATGGAAATTAGCTGAGGGTAAGTGTGAAGTACAATTTAAGTCATCCTTAAGTTCTCTTGCAACCCTGTGAATGAGGATGAGGAAGATGAGGCTATTATGGTATTAATCGTAATCATTAATTTTATTGAGTGCTTTCTAAGTGCCAGGTAGTGAGCTAGTATTTTTTGTATTTCCCAATTCATTTAATTCTGGTGACCACTTAGGAGGTGGGTACTATGGTTACCCCTAGTTTTCTCATGAGGTAACGGAGAGAGATGAGCCACCCTGCCCGAGGCTCCGTAAGCAGCTGAGGCGCAGTGAGAATGTGAGCGCTTGCGGTTATGCTCCCTAGCAACCAATGCTCTTCTCCTGTGTTACAAGCCACACGTTTGTTTCTGATGAATGGTTTGCATGTGTTTTAAGACTCATGTCATCTTGTTGTCTGCTTGTCCAGTCCAAGTGATGGGGAGACCCAATACCCTTTTATTTTCCTTCCCAATTTTTCATGCGATTACTGACATGCTGAGCAACTCCTCGCACTATCTCCCCTGCCCTTGACTTTGAGCAAGGGTATTGGGTCCAGAGGCATCAGCCTCCCCACTCTCCATCCCTTCACTGCATGCTTCTTGGAGGTGAGATCTGGATCCTGGGCTCCCAGCGCTGGAGGCACCACAAGGGACCCTCAGAAGTTCATGCTGGAGAGTGTACGAGCAGGAGCTCCCAGCCCCGCGCCTTAATGCCCCCAGCACTGTGGGCAGCCTCATCCGCGGGGCATCAGCTTACATATTGGGGGGCTTCATGACATCATGAAGAATGCCTGCTGCTGCTAAAGCCACACCTTACTATAGCCAAAGGCCAGCTTACCTGGTGCAGGTCACCCAGTCAGCAGAGGGTATTTTAATTTGTCATACCCCCCATCATCCCAATTGTAGTAACTAACTCAAAACAGAAAGCTAATTGAGTGTGTCTTAATTGACTATTCGTTTTTGTTACCAATGACTGAATCAAAATATAAACACAAACAGCTTTAAAGAAAAAGTCATGTAATAAATAATAAGATAATCTCATCTGTGACCCACAGTTTGATCCCATTTTTGAGTTAATTTATTAGGTTCTTGAGCAGGTAGTCTAAATGGAGCTGAAGGTTTTTGTTTTTTTACCAATAACTTCTGAGAAATGGGGTTAGGATGCTAAGCCTGATTACAGTGAAGCTGGCACTATCGTTAGCATGAGTAGGGGGAGGCGGAGGGATGGGTCTTGAAAAAGGTTTTATTATAAAATGGTATTTTAAATAGTCATATAATAAAAAATCAAGCAATACAGATAGAGCAAAGGTACTCCAAAATTACCCCCATGCATCATGTGCCCTTTCTAAATACAGCCTCACCCCTGAGTTATGCATATGTCCTGCCAGCCTCTTTCAAGGAATTTATAAACCTATGTATGTGCATGTGAAAATGTATAAATTAACCATTTTTACATGTCCATTTCACTGCATAAAATACAAATGTGACTAGAAAACAATCCATGCTTATATTTCTGTCTATATAATATAAATAGGAGCAAAATAAAACCATTACATTGTGGAGAAGTGAATTTGTCTGATTATCTAAAGTTTCCATAACACTGAACAAACCACATTGTTTCATACTGTCTAAAAACTAATTAACATAATTTTCAAAAATTCAGAATAGATCAAGGGAAGGACATTCAAGGGATGTATTTTTTCATTTCACAAAATAAAGGTCTTGATGGAAATTATCAGTACCTTGGGTTAAGTGTTCAGTGTGTGTGTGTGTGCATCATATACAGTTGTTAATATCAAACCTTGTACATGGCAAATATATAATCATATAATTAAAAACATTCAATTACAGATCAAAACACACTGAGACCATTTGAGGGCATATTTCATATAAATATTTCATCTGCTTTGCATTTTAATTATCTTAAATTCTCATTATAGAGCATTAGAAAAAAATACATTTTGTAAATTACTTTTAAAATTACCGATAAGGAGCTTTGGAAATCATATTTGTTTTATGAAAAGAAGGATTTTACCTGTAGATAATTTGATGTGAGAAAGGAGAATAGTTACAGCATTATTTGAAATGTTTCTATTGCATAATTATTGGATAGCGGCAGATTATCTAAGGAGATTGCAGTAATGCTTCAGATATGAGGACTTCAGAAACAAGTCCAGGTGATACTGGACACAGAAATTTCAAATTGAATTTTGAAGGCTTCATTTGGATGGATGTCCAAAGTGGATGTCGCATTATACTTATACGTGTCTTTACATTTAAAACACATCATTTTTGTTTTGTTGTTTCACCTAATGTAAAAAACCAACTCAATTTTCGTTTTTGACTAAGTAATCTCATATTCCTTTAGTGATAAAAAAGAAATGGTACAAAATATAAGCTCATTCTTCCTCTTTTTTTCTGTCTACCTTTCATCTATATTAATTAAAAAAAAGAATGAGTTTTGTTTTAAAGTATGTTTTACCTTTTCTCCTGGTTAGTAATGTACATATTAAATTTCGAGACTTGGAGTATTTTGTGTCCAAATTAAAATTGAAGAGATTCATTTTATACTATTCCATTTATGATGATCCATTTTTTTTTACAGCTATCTATGAGCAGTCCTGTGAAGCCTATAAGCATAGAGGAAATACTTCAGGGTTTTACTATATAGATTCAGATGGAAGTGGTCCCCTGGAACCATTTCTCCTTTATTGCAACATGACTGGTGAGTTAATCAACTTTCATTCAGTAGTTAAGTTTTTGCAAATGCTTTAAACATACAGAATTAAAACAAAACAAGCAGAAAGTTGACCTAATTTGTAACTTGATTAAAATACATAGTTCAGTAGAAGAATCTAACATAAATCTTTAAAAAATAGTTTAATGATAAAGATTTAAAATATTGTCATTATTTTCTATGCATGTGGTATTTAATAGTAAATGTATCTTACTTAGTTCCAAAACAAAAGAGAGAAACTTTTATTTCTCTGAGAAGATTGATACGTGTGAAAGGTTTGAACAATATTTACTTTTGAATTGTAGGTAAACATGAATTTTATTCTTGAATTCTTTATTTACATAAATCTAAAAAAGAATTAATAGTTAGGGCAAATGTTTGGTGAGATTCAATATCCAGTCATGATTAAAGAGAAAATGAAAACTCAATAAATTACCAATAGAAGATAATTTCCTTACGTTGTTAAAGAGTACCCACAAAAAACCTACGACATATATCACAGTTTATGGTGAAGCAGTGAAAGCTTCATCCCTGCTCCTCTCAGTCTTCACCATTGTATTAGGGATCTTAGCCTGTGTAACAAAGCAAGAGAAAGAAATGAAAGATATAAATACTGGAAAGGTAGAACTAAGATTGTCCTTATGTATAGATGAGCAGGTGATACATTGAAAATATTCTCAACAATCTACAGATAAACTATTAAAATGTAGGATCATCACTGGATATGAAGTTATTATAAAAAATAACTTCATTTCTATATACCAGCAATAAGCAATCAAACAAGGAAATTTTAGAAGAATCTACTTTCAATAGCATCAAAAATGTGAATACATTGCAGTAAGTCTAATGGAAGATGCTCAGGACTTATACACAGATAAGTATAAAATGCTCTTGAGAGAAAATAAAATCATAAGTAAATGGAGAAATATGAAATTGTCAAAATGAGAAAATTCACTCTGGTATAAATGTCAATTCTTCCTAACAAGGTATTGATTCAGTGCAAGCTTTAATTAAAATTCCAGAAGAATGTTTATTTTTTGGTTGGTATAATTGGTGAATATTGGCAAACATATCCTAAAATTTATCAGCAAATTTGAAGGAACAAGAAGATCCAAATCAGTCGTGAAAAATAAAGTTGAAGGACTCAATTCTACCAGATATAAAGATGTTACAGGCTCAGCAAACTGTGTGACTGGCACAAGGATAATAAATAGAACAATGGAACAAAATAAGAGAATCAATAAACACACTCAGTCATGTATGGATAGTTGATTTATTGCAAAGGTGGCACTGACGTATCAAAGGAAAGATTGTTTTCAACCAGCAGTGCCTGGGGAAAATTGTATATAAATTTTGTAAGACGGAATCTTGATTCCTTCATCATCAAACACAAAGAAATGGACTCTAGGTGAACTGTGCTGTCCAATATAGTAACCACCAGCAACAAATGCCCATTTAGATTCAAATTTAATTAAAATTAATGAATAAAACTAAATGAATTGAAACAAATTTTACAAATCTGAATTTAAACTAATTCATTAAAAGAAAATTAAATAAACTGCCAGTTCTTCATTCTCACTGGCCAAGTTTTAACTGCAGAGTAGCCACCTATTATTCCATTATTGAAGAAAGTTTACAATGGACAGCACTGTGTTAAGAAGTCAAAGTTTCATGGAGCAAAATAAATGGAAAAAGGAAACATTAAGTTGCAGCGGGAGGTGTTACACAGGAAGGTTCACTACTTTTTAGTTTTCCGATTTGTGTAGCTTGAGTCGTGAGTGAGATTTAATAGTCTGTCACTGTATCTTGCATTGCCACAAATGCCATTGTGAACTAGTCACATGCACCTGCTTTATGAGGTTTTGATTCTGTAAATCAGATTCCTCTAAATTGATAAATATTGCTAATATTTAAAGCTTGAAAAAACACATGACAGACACACATGTGCACACATACATGTATGATTTTCATCATCCATGGTAGCTATATTCTATAAAGTAATAGACTCTGAGTTAGCAGACACTGGACGATTGCTCCTGGAGGAAATGCAATAAGGTGAGGTTCCTTTGAACCTCTGGTCACAACATTCTCATCAACCAATCAACACATAGCCTTGTTTTATGTGTACTTCAGGTTAAAGACACCTTACTCAATACATATTGTTGATTCATTAGTGTGAACTCATAGCTAGCAGCACTGTAACTCAGACCTGAACGGAGCTTATGTAACATGTCTTCTTGGCAGGCACATAACATAAAGACAGAAATGCAAACACATGGCACTAAATAGACCACAAATAGGAAATTTGTATGAGTTCTGAAACAAGGGGACAACGTTTTCTTGTTTAACTTCAGCGGGATATGTGTATGTTGGGTGATTCAGACCTTTTGCAGCTTCCTACCTGTCTGCAGATGTATGAGAGTGCATTGAGTATTGATTTTGGGGTTATAAATACATTTTAGTGAGCAACCAAATTCACAAATAGTGTAGATTGATTATATACACATACACATATATGATATTGTGACCAGAGGTTCAAAGGGTAATAATTCAGTAGCTTATAGGCCATATGCATATTTCACTATTTAAATGATAATGATATCATCAATTTCATTTTATTGAATGAATTATTTCATTTCTATTAAATCCACATTTACTTCATCATATTACATTACTAATTGATGTTCCTTATTTTAATCACCTAAACCACACACCAACTCTAGAAACTCTAAGAGACTTGAGGTAAATACATATATAAATACATAGACACGCACAGAGGGTAAAGGTGAATTAGTAAATTATCAAAATGTATTGATGAAAAAGAAGACATCCACAAAATTTAAAGCCATTTGAAAACCAAACTTTTGAGTGCAGAGACCCAGATAATCTAGTTAGGAGACAGCTAAGTGTCTTCAGAAGCTCTGGAATATTGAAATAATTCAAACAAAAGTGACACTCCCAGAACGTAACAACCCAGTGAGAAATACATGTTGCAGCTTGACACAGTTCCTTATTGATCTGGTTTTGCAAATGGGGAAACCAAGACTCAGGGATGCTCAGTGAGGCAGGTGAAAGATCATTTGGGATGGATCAGGAACAAAACCTTGGTCTCTTTCCTCCCAGCTGGAAAATTTTTCCACTAGAAAAAGTCACATTCTATCAATGTCTCATTGCTTGTAGCCAATAACATATCCTCTAGTTATACAACTCAGGTGTAACGGTAATGAGCACAAGACAAAATGCGGAATCGGTAGCTTGCACATGTGTAACTTTAAAGTCCAGTTATTAGTCTAGAATTTATGTCAAACCAATACCGCCAAGCATTGTGAGCTAAAAGATACAAAGAAAAAAAAAAGATACAAAGAAAATCTCTTTCGAATGGATGATTTCCTAAACTATGTTAAAGACTGAAAATTCTTTCTAAACAGGGTATTCCAAATATAATTTTAAGATAATTAGGATAATATGAATCCCAGTGGCCATCCCTATTGAAATATACAGGTTTTTTTTTCTTCCACACTAAACAGATTGTTTTTTCTATAATGAAATAGTTTTATGTTCAAGAAGTTATCTCATTATCAGAGATTGCATTTTATAGATAAATGTTTCAGTGGGGAAAAATTGATGAGCACTAAAGCAGTGGCTTTCACACTTCTGTGACAATGATCATTCTGCGGCTTAAGCTCTCCCTTCCCACTGCACCAGGACCAGGACCCCTGCATTTAGTTTCACTGACTCAGGAAGCTTAGAGACCAAGGGCTGTGTCTCTGCTCTATTAAAAAGCTCCCCGCTGTGATTCTGAGATAAGGGCTCCTGTGATCATTCCATGAGAAGGCTGGAGTGTGTAAGACTTACCATAACAAAATTATTTTTACTTCAGGGATTTCAGTAATAAAGCCCTTCTTAATAGCTAAGAGAGTTACTAACCATCTCTCATTATTCAAGCGCAACCTTGTCTGCATCGTTTTGCTCCGGAAGGCTAGCTGTTCTCTCCTTTCGTCTCCCTGGCTTCCCGTAACACAGCAGCTTCTTACCTGCCTTTATCCCCCGCAGCTGCTAATCCTGAAGGAGCACAAGCCTGCAACTGTGTTGCTTACACAGCATGAATTTTTCTTTACACTGGTAGCACACAAATAATAGCAGTCAGCCTAAAATAAATCAAGTTCTTAATTACTCAGTTGCTTTACGTACAATCTATATATTATAGATCTCTTCAGGGAGAGACACCCAAATAACCAAACTGCCTTTCATTTTAGTGTGTTCATTAAGTTTCATAAATTTTTCTGCCTGTTTCGGCCATCTCTTCTCACTTCTCTGTGCCCCTCCTGGCCTTAACAACTCCCTCGGCATCTGGTAAAGAATGATTTGCAAGACAATCAAATCATGACTCTTACACAGATATAACAATAAGAGCTAAAACACACGTTTTAAAGATTTTGTTCAACACATTATTGAATGAGGAAACTGGTAAGATGTTACAACCAGTTCCAAGGAGAATCCGAAGAACAGACATATCTATGTATCAGTAATGCTGAAATTAATGTGCAAATGGAAACAAAACTGGCTTTTTCCTTACTGGAAGAGGAAAGTCAGCTGAACCTTCAGCAGGTAGAATTTGCTTGTGTGGACAAGAATTACTGGTTGTGAGGCAACAATGCCTTGCTTGCAAAGAGAAAAAAAATCTGAAGCCTGTGTTAAAGGATAATTGAATGTAAATATGTCTCAGAAGTTAGAGATAGTAAATTTCTCTGGAGAGATTTAAAGGCTGATCTCCCCCAGATGCATTTGCTTACAGTCTAAGAGTGATAAAAACCGAAGGACTTGCCTCTCTTCTCCTCAGAGAAGATTTGTTGCATCCCAGAGCCAAAGTTCCTCTGTCGCTGTCAGAGGGGACAAGCCAGGCCAGCCGCCTGCCCTAAGCTCCGTCTCATGACTGGGTTCTCCTCTGGTGGTGCAGCCCCAGCATGTGCGGTGCATCTGGCAGTCATCACTGTGTCAGCCCAAGGGACATGGGGAGTGTGGACAGTGGGTGCTGCTGGGATTCTCTGAGCAAATGGTCCAGATCTAGAGATACCCCATGTCTGTCAGTATATATTGATATCCATATCATCTATATCTCTACATCTAGAGACCAATATAATTTATATATGAGACAAGTTAGATATGAGGCAAGATAACCTGATAATGTGCAAGTAGGATAACATCCCACATTCTTCAGTTTTAGACAACAATGTTTTATAATTCTATCAGTTCTCCATAATTTACAGAGTTCTAAAAGGCAGTGACAGTTTCAGAGCTGCCATGCAGTTGGAATCCGATAACCTGGAAGGTTGTGCTGTAGTCTGGACAATGCATTGTTTTCATTCATTCATTCATTCATTCATTCATTCACTCACTCATTCATTCATTCCCTTCTTTCTCTAACGAGTGTCTTCTGCTTGCTGTGCCAAGCCCCTCCGCTGTGTGCTGGAGATACTATGGTTAGCAAACTAGAAGCTTTCACTCTTCCCATAGAATTTACAGATTAGTAAAAAAGACCAATAGAATAAATCACAAAATATTCCATTACAAATTGTGATGGGTCTGTGACTTTTACAGTTGTAATTTCTAAATGGGTGTTTGTAGAAACATCAGATAATATAACCATATCGGAAGGAACAGTAAAGAGACTCTAAGTTAATAGTTTTTGAGAGATTCCCCGTTAGTAAAGTGCGTGAGATTTGAAACATGACTGCTGGGCACTCGTTTCTGTTGCTCAGAATCTGTTGTGATGATTTCATTGGACAATTTTGATTCCATTTACAATCTGCTAGATTGTTCTGGAAATCTAGAACGTCTGATTAGCACAGGATCTGCTTAACATCATATTTTGTAGCACTTTATATTAGAAAATAAAATCACTTGCAGAAACTATCATAATATTGAAATTTTAGTATTTCAAAAGGAAACATTTCTACCAGCTGCCCTGTAACGGTTGTCATGCAGTTTGGCCTTGATTTCCAACAACACCTTAGAAGAACTTTAGAATCATGTTAATATTGACCCAGTAGCTGCTAAATGATAGGAAGTCCCTCTCTTTGTGACCCAAAGGCAAAGAGACCAAGGCTTCAAGCAGGTTTATTATCCTGTTCTTTTCAGAGCTACTCAGCCAGATCTGAGTTTCCTCATGCAGGCCATAATTTACCACAAGAAAAGATGAGTCATTTTGCTGAACAATAAAAGCAGAGTCCAACAGAGGCTAGGTGAACAGATTTGCCTGTTAATGATCTTAAATTTACCATAGCCAAGGTTGATTTGACTAAAACTGTAGAATTTCAGACCTACTATATTGCCTCCTATATTCTGCCACTTTATTTTCCAGATTTGGAAATGAAGGCTCAGACTTTACCTGACTTTCTTAAGGGCACACATCCATGTGATCTGCAGTTCACATCTCCTAACGGTCTACACTGCACTGCTATCTGGCCATCCATAATTAATTTCGCTAGCTTATATATCATATCCTCCAAGGAGCTCACTGATAAAGCTTTATGGTGAGCTGAAATACAAGGTGGAAAGACATGTAACCGCTGTTGTTTCAGAGAAAAATAATGGTCCACACATCAGAGGCAATAAGGCTGTCAGATTTGCTTCCTGCCTCAGTTATTGAGCAGGCCTCTCTATTCAAAAATCTGGTGGCCAGGAGATGGGTGGGGATGAAATTTCTTACCTTGTTTTGATCACTCCATGTGAATGTATTAGCTTAAAAGAGGGGGGAACATTCTACCCACTGCTTTTCTCCAACTTGGAATATTCCTCTGTCATACAGAAGAATTATGTGATTTAATAGCACAAATACAGCAGAGTTTTGACAACTTCCAATCTGTTTCTTACCTATTAAATCAGAGGCCTTTTGATTAATCTGTTCCTGTCCCTGCATATATCACAGTAAATATAATATGAAGTCTATTGTTGGGAAAGTACAGTATGCCTATCTTCTATTGTAGACATTGTAGGATATTTGTTTCATCTAAACAATTTTGGTAATCAGTATGATGGAAATGTTCACATTCAGGTGGCAACAATGACAGCTCTACTGAAAACTCAAAAAGATATTTTTTGTGTTAGTTGAGTTGCTGATAATGTATCAGATATGTGTGGCTCAAGAGAGCTGTTGAACAATGGTTCAACTTCTTATCGTTGTATAACTATTGCATTATTTAAGTGTCGTAGCAGAAAACCAAAATGAGTATTTCAAATTTGATTTGTAAAGAAATAGGTGTACACTCATAATTAAATGTTGTCTGAAGGGAGACAGATACAGTCCATAAAAATTTGGTTTTATTATTGCTGGTAACGTGAATGATTTTTAAGAGTAAAAAAGTCATTGCTTACCTCATGTAATTTAACATATTTTACAAATTTGAAGATGTACTTTTTTTCACATTGTAACATCTCTAAATTCTGGGTGTGTTAACAATCAATGCTATTTGGCAATTATAATAGGCAGCATTTTTTTTCCTTCTTAAAGGAAAATAATGATTTATCTTTAACAAGGAGATATCAGGTTTGATGAAATATACCACAAATTTTAATAATCAGATTTCTTAAATTTTCAACATAAATATTTTCTGGCTAAGTTATCTTGCAAATGCATGGCAATCATATAAATTTCAGGGAAAAGAATCACTTTACTGTAATTAAAAATTTTTAAGAATCCATTTGTGCTGATTCTGCCTCTCAGAGAGGTTTGATGAGTAGAAAAATTTGACTCAGATAAAAGGTGATTTTGATTTTCTTTATTTATTTTAACTTTTGCAGACTAGTGATGGTCTCCTCTCTTTCTTCCCCATTTCTGCCTACAAGAAACTGCGTGGACCATCATACAGCACAATGGTTCTGACTTAACAAGAGTCAGAAATACTCACCCAGAGAACCCATATGCTGGGGTTTTCAAGTATGTGGCCAGCATGGGGCAACTCCAGGCCACGATTAGCCGCGCGGAGCACTGTGAACAGGAGCTTACCTACTACTGCAAGAAGTCACGGCTTGTGGATAAGCAAGGTAAATAACCTGAGGCCTCTGCCCCGCTGCTCACACAGGGCACTTTACTTAATCAGCTCCTGAGGATTTTAATCTGCCAAGGTGGCGGTGGCATCTAGCATGCCCCTGCATACCCAGGTGCACGTCTTTATACTTAGCAAACATGTCTCAGTCTGGAAGTCACAGAGATGCTTTTGCCTGAAGAAAAGAACAAGGTCATTTCACACTGAACTTTGTTCAAAGCCCTGATGCCTTGAGAGTCTCTTACTGACCTTAATCGGGTAACTGTGCAGAATGAGGCTTCATTCTGATACTCAGTGAATGTACGGTGTTTATCCCTCATAAAGGGCAAGTGACGCGTATGGCTTCTTTTATCATGGACAAGAGCTAATAAAAATATGACTTGCTTTTCTGAAAGTGACTATTCTGTGTGACTCTTTTCATGGATTGTTGACAGCCTCTGGGTGTAACTGAAAATTAGAACAGGCTGCTGGAAACAGCTCAGTAGCTCAAACAGGAATTGGAAAACCATCTTAACTCTTTCTTTTATTCTACTTGTAATGAGCAGTCTACGTCTGAATTCTGTTTCTGGTTTTGTGTTTTCTCCCTTGAGACTGTCCCATTAGGCGAGGGCGTCTTAGGTCCCCCCAGTTCTGCCTTTGTGTGGCCTCAGCGGCCTGATTCTTGAAGCTTCTTTGAGAGCCTCCAGCTGGGCTCCTAGCTCGCATCTCTGCGTATCCTCTGACCACCCCACAGAGAGTCTGAAATAGTGATCTTTCTGAAAAGAACTAACTTTTGAGAAACACTGCTTCCATCATGACCCCGTCCTGTGTAAGATACTCCAGTGCCCCCTGGTTCCTGTCTGTTCAAAACAGACTTTTGTGTCTGGACACCAGAACTTAGACTATGGGTCCATTCTGTTTAGGCAACCTTCACGCCACCCCCAACAACCTGTTTTTTAGCAGCAATATTGAGGTATGTATTTCTTCAGAAATTAAAGATTCTAAGACATCTGCACCATGAAGCCACTTTGTTCAAATGTTTACTCTGTTTGTTGTCTTGAAAGAGATGAGAGTTCCAGATAGAAGAATTTTAAATGAAATGCACTCCATGTGTGATCATCACGTGTTGTGTGGATCATGCAGGAAGAGTTTGAGCCCTTGGAAAGGTGTTTGGACCTTTCATTTTCTTCTCAACATCTCACCTGTTTACTTCCATCCACTCAATACAATTATTTTCTCCCCTGTGCCTGAGTTCCTCCCCCTCCTCCTCCTTTTCTTCATAATTTTCCTCTTTTCCAGAGTGTCCTGACTTGGCCTTTGACCCCTCCAAATTCTTCCCATTTTCCTGGTCTCGCCTCTGATTTTGTCCCTCTGAAACTTCAGTTGCACCTGTGAATGGCCTTCGGATAATTGTAGTGCAAGCAGCATAAGATTTAAAGGTGGGGAGAGACGTGAGTTCAAGTCCCAGGCCTCTCCCGATTAGCTCCAGTGCAGAATCTTTCTCAGTCTGTTTTCTCTTCTCTGAAATGGGGCCAGGAATACCGACCTCACAGGGGTGTGGTGAGGAGTGGGTGACATGCCACATAAAGACGACAAAGAGGACCCCTCTCCTCCCAGCTCTGAGGTGCATCGTGGTTATAGTTAACATGCCAGTTTCATGCGCAACTGATTTTCATTGTTGCTGAATAGTAATCTTGGAATCTAACAAAAGAGATAAGCAAATATGGAAGTGCATTCTAAGAATGAGAACCTTAAATATAGAGAAGGTAAAGTGAGTGTGATGAGACGAAAATGAACTGAGTTGCTCAGCTGGAATAAAAAAACAAAAACGAAGACAATCCTCAGAGTCACCAGTGGGTCAGACACGGAAAGAACCAGAAAGAGAAACCCTCAAGGGGTCAGTGAGCAAGGGCCCTACAGAGTAAAGGCATCGGCCTGGAGTAGGAAAGAGGTCCTGCCTTCACGGCCGGTGGTGTGGGGTGCCTTTGGTTAAGGCTGCCCAGGTGTTTCAGCCAGGCTTGAGAGCCACTAGTAAAGAAAGTAGTATACTCTAGAAGCATCTAGAATAAGGGATGGTGATGATTAATGAATATACAGATTTTCCTTGGATCCATGACCCCTAGAATCCATGTAGAATGGATATGAGTTGGAAAATAGAACAATTTGGATTTTGAGTTCACAATAAGGAATATTTGGGGCAGAACAGGAATGGAAGGTGGTGTCAGGCAAGTAAAATGTACAGTTGTTTCAGATCTTGAACATACAGAAGTTTCGAGTAATAATGGTGCCATAATTGTGGATGAATAAACTGGGATGTGTAGGAAATTTCATTTTCAGCAAGCTGTAAAGCTGTGAGTCAGTACATTAGAAGGCTAATAAATGGGAATGCTCTAGTCATTGGGATTTTAACTATGGGGAGTGGGATGTTCTACCATGATCACTGATAATTTATAATTTTAATTTTGAACTTTGAAAAATTTCCATGATTTTATTTTTTGGTATCACTAATATACATGAGCAACATCGTGGTTACTAGATTCCTCCCCATTTTCAAGTCCCCACCACATACCCTATTACAGTCACTGTCCATCAGCATAGTAAGATGCTATGGAATCACTACTTGTCTTCTCTGTGCTATACTGCCTTCCCCGTGCCCCACCTACATTATGTGTGCTAATTGTAATGGCCCTTATTCCCCTTATCCCTCCCTTCCCTCCCATCCTCCCCAGTCCCTTTCCCTTTGGTAACTCTTAGTCCATTATTGGGTTCTGTGAGTCTGCTGCTGTTTTGTTCCTTCAGTTTTTTTCTTTGTTCTTATACTCCACAGATGAGTGGAATCATTTGGTATTTGTCTTTCTCCGCCTGGCTTATTTCACTGAGCATAATACCCTCTAGCGCCATCCATGTTGTTGCAAATGGTAGGATTTGTTTTCTTTTTATGGCTGAATAATATTCCATTGTGTATATGCATCACATCTTCTTTATCCATTCATCTACTAATGGACACTTAGGTTGCTTCCATTTCTTGGCTATTCTGGTGCTGTGATAAACATAGGGGTGTATATATTTTTTGAAACTGGGATCCTGCATTCTTAGGGTAAATTCCTAGGAGTAGAATTCCTGGGTCAAATGACATTTCTATTTTAGTTTTTTGAGGAACCTCCGTACTGCTTTCCACAATAGTTGAACTAGCTTACATTCCCACCAGCAGTGTAGGAGGGTTCCCCTTTCTCCACATCCTTGCCAACATTTGTTATTGTTTGTCTTTTGAATGGTGGCCATCCTAACTGGTGTGAGGTGATATCTCATTGTGGTTTTAATTTGCATTCCTCTGATGATTAGTGATGTGGAGCATCTTTTCATGTGTCTGTTGGCCATCTGAATTTCTTCTTTGGAGAACTGTCTGTTCAGTACCCTGCCCATTTTTTAATTGGATTATTTGCTTTTTGTTTGTCGAGGTGTGTAAACTGTTTGTATATTTTGGATGCCAACCCCTTATCAGATATATCATTTATGAATATATTCTCCCATACTGTAGGATGCCTTTTTGTTCTACTGATGGTGTCCTTTGCTATACAGAAGCTTTTCAGTTTGATATAGTCCCAGTTGTTCATTTTTGCTTTTGTTTCCCTTGCCAGTGGAGATATGCTCATGAAGAAGTTGTTCATGTTTATATTCAAGAGAGTTCTGCCTATGTTTTCTTCTAAGAGTTTTGTGGTTTCATAACTTATATTCAGGTCTTTGATCCATTTCGAGTTTACTTTTGTGTATGGGGTTAAACGATAATCCAGTTTCATTCTCTTACATGTAGCTGTCCAATGTTGCCAACACCAGCTGTTGAAGAGGCTGTCATTTGCCCATTGTATGTCCATGGCTCCTTTATCATATATTAATTGACCATCTATGCTTGGTTAATATCTGGACTCTCTATTCTGTTCCACTGGGTCTGTTCTTGTGCCAGCACCACGTTGTCTTGATTACTGTGGCTTTGTAGTAGAGCTTGAAGTTGGGAAGCGAAATCCCCCCTGCTTTATGCTTCCTCCTCAGGATTGCTTTGGCTATTTGGGGTCTTTTGTGGTTCCATATGAAGTTTAGAACTATTTGTTCCAGTTTGTTGAAGAATGCTATTTGTATTTTGATAGGGATTGCATTGAATCTGTAGATTGCTTTAGGCAGGATGGCCATTTTGACAATATTAATTCTTCCTAGCCAAGAGCATGGGATGAATTTCCATTTATTAGTGTCCTCTTTAATTTCTCTTAAGAGTGTCTTGTAGTTTTCAGCATATAGGTCTTTCACTTCCTTGGTTAGGTTTATTCCTAGATATTTTATTCTTTTTGATGCAATTGTGAATGGAATTGTTTTCCTGATTTTTCTTTCTGCTAGTTCATTGTTAGTGTATAAGAATGCAACAGATTTCTGTGTATTAATTTTGTATCCTGCAACTTTGCCGAATTCAATATTAGTTCCAGTAGTTTTGGAGTGGATTCTTTAGGGTTTTTTATGTACAATATCATATCATCTGCAAACAGTGACAGTTTGACTTCTTCTTTACCAATCTGGATGCCTTTTATTTCTTTGTGTTGTCTGATTGCCATGGCTAGGACCTCCAGTCCTATGTTGAATAAAAGCGGGGAATGTGGACATCTTTGTCTTTTTCCTGATCTTAGAGGAAAAGCTTTCAGCATCTTGTTTTTATGTATAATGTTAACTGTGGGTTTGTCATATATGGCCTTTATTATGTTGAGGTACTTGCCCTCTATACCCATTTTGTTGAGAGTTTTTATCATGAGTGAATGTTGAATTTTGTCAAATGCTTTTTCAGCATCTATGGAGATAGATGATCATGTGGTTTTTGTCCTTATTTTGTTGATGTGGTAGATGATGTTGATGGATTTTGGAATGTTCTACCATCCTTGCATCCCTGGGATGAATCCCACTTGATCATGATGTATGAGCCTCTTTTGAATTCAGTTTGCTAATATTCTGTTGAGTATTTTTGCATCTATGTTTATCAGGAATATTGGTCTCTAGTTTTCTTTTTTTGTGGGGTCTTTGCCTGGTTTTGGTATTAGAGTGATGTTGGCTTCATAGAATGTGTTTGGAAGTATTCCCTCTTCTTCTGTTTTTTGGAAAACTTTAAGGAGAGTGGGTATTATGTCTTTTCTACATGCCTGATAAAATTTCATGATTTTCCTACTTACATCTCATACTTAAATTCTTTGGAACACTTCAAAAAGTCTTGAGAGGAAATGAAGGTATTTGGTATCTTGAAAACATGTGGTTTTCATTTTATAGGGAAGATAGGAAATTTAGATGTGAAAATATTATTCAGTATTTAGGAGTAGTGATTTATTTTCTTTTTGATCTATGAACACAATGTTTGAAGGTATATGTTGAAATATATCTGTTAAATATATTTCAAGGTGATGTTACATTTGGTTGATACTTAATCATGAATTTTAAAAAATGAAGATTCTTGATATTAATGTCTTCATGCATAACACAAGCTTCTGATTATGTTACGTCTTGTTTTTTGGCATGGCATGGACCAGTATGCATGGTGACACTGGGAGAGAGGTTGTCACATTAGTAGAGGACCCATCTAATAGCAAATTATTATGCGCATTGGCATTTCTAAGGGAGAAATTGTGTCCCAGAGTTTCATAGGGCCGTTGGCAACAATTTAAAGGTTTGAAAGTCAACAGAATAATGATTAGGCACCTTTGAGGAGCTGTGTTGTTCTCACATTGTTTTCATGCCTGATTCTCAAATGACTATGGTTTTTCCTCTCTACGTGTTTTTTCCTGAGGCAGATTGCCTGCATGCCTCACCGAAATGTGCCGTCTTCCCTTTGCTCCAGTTCCTTGGCTTCATGTTTGGTCTTAACTCTGAAAAGAGCTGGTAGCTGATCATTCATTATATAAAGAAGTACATTTGGCTAAGAGAAACTTTGATTTTTAAATGTAGTATTTGCTTTAGGCTTAAAGATCTTCCAGTGTTACTTTATAGTCTCCACATAAATAGCCAAACCATTAAATGGAAGAAAAAAAGTACATTCAAATAGGTCTTAAATCATGACAGGGGAGTGCCTTACCATGCTTAATATTTAATAAACAACTGATTTTTATTTAGCCAATAAGCACATTGAGAAAAATCACTGACTTTATATAACATTCCATGATGTTTTAATGGGCATTTTATGATATCAAGTCAGTTTTGTTTCTGATATGTTAATTACTGTGTTTTATATTTTGTTAACTTGTGATTTCAGAAATTATTGTTAAAGAAATTATATATGGAACTACTCTCGATACATTTTTAGCATTGTGCCCAAATTAAATAGGAACTGCAGTTTCTTTTCTACTCAAAGAAAAATATGTCAATCATTTATTTTAAGTAATAAAGTATTTTTAAAAAAAGCTTTCTTAAGGAAATGCCATCATTAAAAGTGTTTGGAATATCACTACATGAAATCCATCTTTCTCTTTTTTCTTTGACCCTTTTGAATGATTTGGGAAGGAAGGGAAGTAGGAAATTATAAGGGGATGGAAGGCAGTGGGGTGAGAATCAGGTGTCACATTTCTTACATTTGTCTTTCAGATGGAACCCCTCTGAGCTGGTGGGTTGGAGGAACCAATGAAACGCAGACGTATTGGGGAGGTTCTTTGCCTGAGCCCCAAAAATGTACTTGTGGATTAGAGGGGAACTGCATCGATTCTCAGTATCACTGCAACTGTGACGCTGACCGGAATGAATGGTGATTTTCCTATGCTTTCCTTACGCAAAACGAAGTTTATTTTTCGAAATGGTTCACTCAAAATATGTATAGCAAGGCAGATACTGAACAAGTTAGTACAGTGATGAAATTAGGTAAAGGGATGTTTTGTTAACCATGAATCGTGTACATTTTATTTTTGTAATAACAATAGACAGGGCGTCCGTTTCATGATACCTCTTCATTGTAAACCAGTTACCTTTCTCTTTAAAATCAGGTGTCATTAAAAATTCCATTATTCTCAAAAGATACTTACAACCATTCATTATTAAAGCACATTTCAATAATCTGCCTATAAAACCTTTAAACAAGTAAACTTAGAAGGTCCCACAATTATTGGGGAAGGTGTAGCTCTTTTATTTTTGCAAAGGACAGACCATGCCACAAAGAACTGAAGTTCTGTTTGTCGCATTTTGAACCTAAAACATTTAAGGATATGAAAGTCGAGCTCAAAGTATTCTTCTAAGTAGAAGAGAAGTCTTGTGCATATGTTCTCCTTTGGAAAGTTTAATACAATTATTATGTTATATTTGAGACCAGAGGTGGAATGTAGATTGACTTTATTTATTTGTGAAGTGAAATTTTAAATTCTCATATTCATGTTTCAAAAATGTATATCTTACATTGCTGAGCAACTGAATTTACACACAAGAATTTTTTAAAAATATTAACAGTCAATTTGGCTGTAAATATGATTGATTTGGTTGCAGAATAAACATTAATTCCAGAAATCAGTTAGCTGTTAATTGAGCTCATATTTTGGATTGCCTGATATTTCATTTATTTATTTGGCAAACATCAAGATTATATTATATCAGAAGACAGATTCTTTTAGAATATCCTAGAAAGAGGCATCCGTATGGCATCATGACTCTTTTCAGTGTTACACATTTGATAAGAATATTGTCTCTCTTACTCAAACTACAATTTTTCAAAATTCCTCCTGCCTTTGGAAAGCACTCTTTTCTCACTGCCTTCTCAAAAATAATGCCTACACAGTAATATTTATATTCTAAAATGGGAATAAAAAGGCTAAGAGCAGTGTTTACAGAAAGAAAACAGCCTAACCTAATCACCAGCAACTCCCTAGTGCCTCCATAACATTATTCATCAACACTAATTTCTAAAAATAACATTTGAAACTTCTCATATTAAGTTCTGTTTATGGTAAAGTAGTTTGCATGGAACTAACCTCCCTCATATAGCATCTATAATAGGAAATATATTTATAAAAACACCCACTTGATGTTAATTGGAGAACAACCAAATGTGGGCAGAAACTACGGTGTTAGTTGGGGGCCTTTAACCTGTGAAAGAAAGGAACTTAAGTGGGTGAGATGCATGTTTATGTGCCTTTTCCCTTCGGGGCACTCCCCAAACCACAAACCGTGGGGTGATTAGAACATTTCTAGGTGTTTTTTGACTTGAAGTATCAGAGGATAGAGTTTGGGGCTTCCAGAATCATTAGAAATTGAGGGAGTGCAAATCCCAGAAAGGAAAACCTTGCAGGAAGTCTACTATCAGCTCTGCCCAGATCCCCACGTGACCCTTGAACTGCACACACAGAGCGGAGGTTTCTAGGAACCAATCAGAGAGCTACAGCTGGAAAACTGTAGAGAAAACAAGCTATCAGTGGCTACTACCAGCGGAGAGACAGAATTTGGAGTTTAAGGCTTATTAATTGTAATGGGTTTTGTAAAGCCCTCAGCTTTCCATAGAAATGACAGAAGGTTCATGTTTTTACAGCAAGGACTATGTCCCCAGAACTGAGTATGATTGAAAATGAAAAGCAAAACTGACACAGCTCACCCTGCGGACATATAAAACCAACCTCCACAATTTATTGTGATAAGGCTCTGATTGCACTGCCTGCAAAAACAAAACAGTCTTCAGAGAATGATAACAAGAGTCCAGAGCCTTTATGGTGTATCACCCACAATATTCAGCGCCTTCTTAACAATTATTGCATATCCCACAAAAGGGTGAACTGCAATCCAAAGTCAAGAAAATAAAAGCAGTTAGTAGAAATAGACCCTGGGACACTGATGTTTGATTAGTAGGCAAAAACTTTAAAGCAACAATTATAAACATGACCAAAGATGTGAAGGCAAAAATAATCACAAGAGAGTATTTGAAGCAGACAAATGAGAATTCTATTAAAGAGGCAAAGGTAAATTTTAGAATAGGAAAGTACAACATCTGAAATGGAAAATGCACTGGATGGACTTGAACTCATATAGAGACAGCAGAAGAAATCTTCAGTGAACCTGAAGGCAGCTTAATAGAAATCACTCAATCTGAAGAACACAGGGGAAAAAAGATTGGAGGAAAAATGAACAGAACCTTTGTGGCTTGTGGGAAAACAGCAGACTTAACAGGCAAGAAATTGGAGTCCCTGGAAGACAAAATAAAATGAGGTGGAAAAGAATTTGATGAAATAATGGCTGAAAATTTCTCAAATTTGTTTAAAGTAAAACACCCGTGGTAGCAAGTCTCCATGATGGCGCCTGATGGTCCGCGCTCCCTGTTATTCACGCCAGCGTGTAATTTCCTCCCCTGCAATGTTGCCTGGACCTTGTGACTTGCTTCTAATACATAGAATATGGTGAAAGTGATGCGATGGCTCTTCTGAGGTTAGGTTACAAAAAACTGTGACTTCTGATTTGCTTGCAGCTCTCTCTCTGACGCGTCTAGCTTTCTTGTTTTGATGAAAAAAGTTACCATGTGGTGAGCTGCCCACATGGCAAGGAGTTGAGGGTGACCGTCAACCCCACAGCCAGTGAATAATGGAGGCACTCAGGCCAACAAGCAGCGAGGAACAGAAGCAGCCCACAGCCGCAGGAGTGCGCCTGGAAGCAGATCCTTCCCTGTCAATCCTAGGATGACTACAGTCCTTGCCAGTGCTTTGATTGCAGCCTTGGGACAGACCCTGTGCCAGAGGATCCTGACACACAGAAACTGTACATCATTTATGTTATTGTTTTAAGTCTGTAAATTTGGGGATAATTTGTGAAGCCATAGTAGATAATTAATACAATATAAATGTACAGATTTCAGAAGCTCAGAGGAACTCAAGCAGAGTAAAAACACAGAAAAGCATGTTGGCTTGTTGTTCAAATTGCAAAAAACCATTGGTGAAGATAAATATTTTGAAAGCAGCCAGGGTGGGTGTATCTGGTAGAACACAGTCCATACAGGGCGACAATGGTGCAAATGAAGACTGACTTCTCATCAGGAGCGCAAGTCAGAAGACAATGGAATAATATCTTTAATGTGCTGTAATGAGAAAGCGATGTCAACCTAGGATTCTACACTGAACAAATATATATTTCAATGAAGGTGAAATAAAGTCCTTCACAGATTAAACAGATACTGAGGGAATTTTTTGCCAGTAGAACTACACCATAAACTAACAGAAATTCTTAGGCTAAAGAGAAATAACACTGGATGAAAAATTAGACCTCAGGAAGGAAAGAAGAGGACTGGAAATCTTGACTGTGTCAGTAAATAAAATAGCCAGTGTTTAAATTCTTCTCTTAATTAAAAAATTAAAATTCACTGTTTAATTATATTATAACGTTTATAACATAAGAATTTAAAATATATTGCAATAACAGCACAAAGAACAGGTGTGTGTGTGAAGGGGGTGATAAAGAAGTTATCCCAGTAAGCTTCTGACATTTTATATTAAGTAATAAAATATATAAGCATAAAATCCAAGTAGACTAGGATGAATTAAGGATGCATTAGTAAGGATCCATAAAGCAAACATTAAAATACAATAAACAGACATAGAGCTAAAAAGTGCATAAACAATAAAATTGAATACAAAAAATATGGAGGAAACCAAGTTGAGGTAGAAAAGGGGGAGCAGAAATACAAGAAATCCTAGAGGAAAAAATTAACAAGTACCAAAATGATAGGTCCACAAAGTATCAGTCATTACACTAATTACACAATAGATAAGCCATTCCTTTTATTATTCATTTATTTTGTTTTATAAAAATTGAATTATAATTGACAGACAGAATTACTGGTTTCAGGTGCACAATGGGGTAATTTGATATTTTTAACCATTAGAAAATGATCACCTTGATATAAGCATTCCATCTAAAAAATAGAAAATGGCCAACTGAATTTAAAAATCACCAGCTTTATTCTGTCTGCAAGGGACATTAAAGTGCGGTATTTTTATATACTCAGATGAGCAGTTTGATCCTTACTTTTCTGTATGTGCAAATTTAGCTCAGAACATCTTGGCTTTGAGAGGCAGTAAAGACTGTTATTTATTTTATAGTTATGTTAATCAGAGTAATTTTAAGAATTTTGTTGTTGATGCTCTTTTTTTAGGACCAATGACACCGGATTCCTTTCTTACAAAGAACATCTGCCAGTGACTAAGATAGTGATTACAGACACAGGCCGACCGCACTCAGAAGCAGCTTATAAACTGGGGCCTCTACTCTGCCGGGGAGACAGTAAGTGGTGGCCGTGTGTTGCAAACACATCTGAGGAAAGTGATGTCACTTAAGAATCATGTTTCCATCATATAATAACTAATCAGATTTCTATTACAAAAACTCATAAGCAATATCTGAACTAGTTCTTCTAGTCAGCCAATGAATAAAGTACCCCTATAAAGCACAATAAATAAATGTAATAAATGCTGTCATGGCAAACCTTGTTAAGATTCCAAGAAAAAGGAACCACTAAGCATCCCAATTTCATTGGTTCGTAAATACATTCCCATATTCATCCATAGCATTATCCACATAGAAAAACCTCAGTGTGCTACATACAGTTGTTCAGAAACAAATGTTTGTGAGTTTCCTACTTTGGGGCCTGGGCTGAAAGTAGAGCATCAGTAGAATCGAATGTCAGTTGAATCAGACATGTTTCAACTTTTAATCTCATTCTTTTTCAGTTTGTGTGTGTGTGTGTGTTTACTCTAAATCAATGAGGCATGCTGTTTTGTATATCCAATGTATTAACACTCTAAACCAGAATTTTAAATTTCAAATACAGTTTCACAGAAAATACGTATTTTCAGCAGGGAATGAAATGAGCATATGTGCCCATTCATAACCTGTCTGAAACCTGTTAGGCTAGAGACTGATACATTAATTATTTATGCTTTTAGTTATTTCCGGAACTTAAAATGGAAATGGAAGAAACATTTATTTATATTAAAAGTGTGCCCCAAAATGAAAATTTTACCCCAGCCACTCAACAGAGGAAGAGACGATCTAACAATGCTGTGGATTTACAGAGATATGTAGCAGAAGTTGCTTCGTTAAAAAGCAAAGATGACCGGCCTATAAAAATTTATATGTACTTGTAAAAAACTGTCAGCCATTATACCTACTATCCCTAATCTTTATCATCTCTGCTTCCTGTTCTCACGGTAGGCCTTACACAGTCACATGAAGATGACATTAAGATATTTCATGGAGAGAAAAATTATGTGCAAAGAGATGAGGTTGTAAACTCAGGATGCATCCAGGATTGTGCAGTGAGCCTGTGTGAGCAGAGAAATCGTTCTGTACATCACATGCCCGTTTCTCTGCCGGCTCTGATCTTAATCCTTCAGGGTCCTAGGCTGGCTGTCGCCATCCCCCTTATTCCGGCTGCCACGATCCCCGGAAATCTGGTTTGCTTTGACTGACTCTCTCGAACTCTATCCCTTAGAGCTGCTTTCTTGCAGATGTCCTGCCATGATCTTAAACACATAGAACCTCTTTGCTTAGAGCAGTGATTCTCTCTCTGAGCCAATTTTGCCCCCTTAGGGGACATTTGGCAATAACTAGACACATTTTTGACTGTCACAGGTGTCGTAGGTTGAATGCCACTGGCATCTAGAGGGAGAAACCAGCCACGCTGCTAAATATCCTGCAGCTCAGGAGGCGGGTCTCCACAGAGAGATATCTGGCCCAGGACGTCAGGAGTGCAGAGTTGAGAAACTACGGCCTTAAACTTTTATGACCTTGGGGTTTAGAGGGAGGATAACAATGTTGGGAATAAGAATTCACAAAGTGTGAAGTATTAGGAGACCTGCTCATTAGTTTGACTTATTAATGAAACTGTGGAGCGAGCTTTCCTTGGCCTTCTTGTCTCCTACGTCTGGGTCAGGGTTGAGGCTCATCCTCACATGTGGTCGCAGGACTGTTTTCTGCATGAAGGGCCCTTTTTCATTTTCTCAGTCAGCAGAGCAATGGCCGCACACAGTGACTGCCCCCTTTTCTCTTGGAGAAATCTGCAGCCCTGAAGCAATGCCCTAGGCAGTTTTTTTCTTCCCAGGTGAGCTAAATTGGGGTAGATAGGGGTATCCAGACAGAGGATCATGCACTGTGGGCCTTATGAACAGGAGAAAGATATGCAGGCACTATCCTGAAGGCATTAGGTCTGGAACATTGAATAATTTAAGGCTAAGAAATCACTTCATCCTTATGATCCCAGTGAATCATGAGAACCAGTTATAAACCTAAAGACCAGCAAAGTGACCTTTGATGTGAGACAAGGGAAAATGATGTAGATGGAACCAAGCAATGACTGGCATGGAGCTTAAAGAAGAGACTCTGCTAGAGAGGAGTTAAGGTTGAAAGAATGTGAGGGTGCTCCCCAGCTTTCTGGTTTGAGTAAAGCTGCTAGTTCCCGCCACTGAGACAATAGGATGCTGGTACCCGCCACTGTGATAACAGGATGCTGCTACCCGCCACTGAGACAACAGGATGCTGGTACCCAGCACTGAGACAACAGGATGCTGGTACCCGCCACTGTGATAACAGGATGCTGGTACCCACCACTATGATAACAGGATGCTGGTAGGATGCTAGTACACTTCATTGAGACAAGGAATTTTTAGGTTTTCTTTGAAAATGGAAAGATGAGAATAAAAAAGAAACATTTTAGTTTTGTCACACAAACTAGAGATGTTGAAAATTTTATATCTAGCCATTTTTCTAGGAAAGAGACAGAAGCCTTGAGAAAGTAGGATAAATAAACAAAAATTACTCTGAGAGCTATTGGTCCCAGATGTGAGCCAGATATGAGCTTACCCCTAATTAACTGATGTTGTTTTTTTCTAAGCTTCTTTTAATTTTTTTTAAATGTAGGTGGTTCTGAAATTCCTTGTTACTGCTGCTGTTATTGTTTGATGCCAGAAGTCACAGATAACATCGTTATGCGTTTTACCCAAAAGTAGGTCAGATATGGATGATAAAGCTGCCTTTAAAGGTGTGCTGTAGACATGAAACTTGGTAAATATTGTTGTCCTTAATGAACTTATCTATTTATGAGTATGGAAATAAATTTTTGAAAATATATGTAAAAAGTAAATGGCAGACTTTGCCATCCTATTTATGATAAAAATGAAGAAAATTAGGAACTGAAGGGAATTTCCCTAATGTTTTAAAGGCATCTGTGAAAATCTGATAGCTAATGTACTGAATAGTTGAAGACTTCAATGCTTCCCCTCTAAGAATATGATCAAGGCAAGGATGTCTGCTCTCACCTCTCCTATTCAATATCATACTGGTGGTCCTAGCACATGTAAAAAATCAAGAAAAGGAATGTAAGACATATAGATCAGAAATGAAGAAATAAAAATGTGTCTGTTTACAAATGACATGGATTTTTAGATAGAATATCTATAAGATGTTATTTAAATATGAGTTTAGTAAGGTCACAAGATACAAAGTCAGATAAAAATAAATTATATTCCTATATGCTAATAATGAAATACTATAAATTGAATTTATTTAAAAAGTTTCTTTTACAGTAGCACCAAAAATATGAAATACTTTGATATACATATAACAAAGTTATATAACATTGATGAGAACTAATTAAAGAACTAAATAAAAATATAATACTCATGGGTTGAAAGATTTCATATTGTTAAGATGTCCATTTTCCCCAAAAGAATATACAGATTTAATACAATCTCAATCAAAATCCAGCAGGTATTTTTCTTTTTCTTTTTTGTAGAATTTGGCAAGCTTATTCTAAAATTCGTATGGAAAAGTGAAGAAACCAGCATAGCTAAGCATTTTGAAAAATAAAATAAGGTTGGAGATTTATATTACTCAATTTTAAGACGTATTACAAAACTACAGAATTCAAGACAGTGTCGTATTGACATCAAGGTAGACAAATAGATTGATGGAAGAGAATGGAGAGCCTGGGCGGGGGGAGGGATGTATAAATAAATAAATATCTATATATATGTGTGTATATATATATATATATATAACTCAATGGAGAAAGAACAGTCCTTTTCAAGAGATAGTGCTGGAGCAATTAGAATCCATTTACAAAAACAGAAAGACTCTCAACCCATACTTTAAACCGCATACAAAAAATAACTCAAAGCTATAAATATGTCTCAGAAAATATAGGAGAAAAATCTTAGTGACCTTAGGTTAGACCTTAATTTCTTAGAAACAATACCAAGAGCATGATTCATGAAATTAAAAAAATAATAGTAAGTTGGGTTTCCCCCAAATAAAAAACTGCTTTTAAAATGACATTATTAAGAAAATGAAAAGCCGCACATGGAGGAAATACTTGCAAAATACATATCTTAACATGATAAAGGCTAGTATCCAGGATATATAAAGAACTCTCTCACTGGGCAATAATAAAAAAAAAATCAAACTAATAAATGGACAAAAGATTTGCAGACATACTTCATCAGAGAAAATAGACAGATTTCAAGTAAGCACATAAAAAGATTCTCAATCTCACCGAATCACTGCGAAAATGTAACTTAATACCACAATGAGATGCCAACATACAACTCTTAAAATGGCTAAAATTAAAAAAGAAAAATAACTGGTAATAACAAATGGTGAGGATGCAGGGCTGCTATACTCCTCATACCACTTTAGAAAAAAGTTTGGCAATTTAAAATAGTTAAACGCACATTCGCCGTTTAACCCAGCAGTTGCACTCCTAGATACACAGAAGAATGAAAAACCTGTACGTAGGTAGGGTTTATATTGGCTCTGTTCACAATTCAGTCTCCCAAAACCAGAAACCACCCAGCTATCCATCAGCTAGCAAATAGGTAAACTTTCCGTGTTCCAGTGGTGTGTCCACAGTGTACCGTGGAATGCTACTGAAGAGAAAAAAGAAATGGACTACTGGCAGATACTCGCCCAACATGAGTGCATCTCAGATGCACTATGCCAAGTGAAAGAAGCCTGACTCAAAAGACTACCTACTGGATGATTCTATTTCTAAGATTCTCTGGAAAAGGCAAAACTGCAGAAACAGAAAAAGGATCTCTGTCGCCAACAGATTGAAAGTGAGAGAAATTTTGCAAAGGGGAACAAGTGTAGGAAATGTTCTGTATCTTGAGTGTGGTGGTGGCTTTTGACTTTATGTGTTTGTCAGAATTCCTAAAGCTACCCACAAAAGCTCAGTTTTATTTCATGGAAATTATCCTTCAATTACATCTGACTCGAAGAACAAAAAT